TCGGGGAAGCACCTCAGCCCAGCCTCCACACCTTTATTTGTGCCATTACCCCTGAGGCTCACCTTCCCATTTCCCACATCCTGTGGGCCAGGCATGGCTCTGCTTACATTTGTTGACAGGCACCCAGAAACCAAGCGGTTGTTCCTCAAGGGCCGGAGGGGGGACCTCCCAGCTCCCCGTACACATCCCCACTGGGTCCAGGCACAGGGTGCAGATCCAAAAGACAAAATGAGCAGGGGCGGGAAGGCACAGAGCCCCCAGACTGGGAGGGTCGGGGTACCCCCTGCCCAGCCTGGGCCTGCACAGCTGGGCACGGGAAGCCAGACAAAGCGCAGCACAAGCCCCTCTGACATCAAGCCTGACTCTGCCAGGCAAGGCCAACCCAGGGCCCTCAGCCAGATCACAGGGCTGGGGGCACCTTTTCCTAGCCCTTTGAGTTCAAGTGCATTTTGAGGGCCAGAGCTGGAGGACTGGGGCTGCCATGGGAGGGCAGCTGCTTCCCTAGGGATTAGCGCCATGACTGCTTGCCCTTCAGAAAATTGGCTTCGGTTAAGACACACATGAGGGGAAGTTCATCCTTAAATCTATCTGCTATCCCGGGCACCTTGACTCCCTGCCAGGGCTGGGCCTGACAGATCTAGGGCTACTTTCTCATGCCCTGGAAGCTGGGGGGTGGGGGAGGTTTAGGCAAATGTAGGCAAATTTGGGTGGCCTTTGGCCGGAGGGACTGGCAGGAGAGGGCTCTGAGTTCCCTCTCCCTTTCAGGAAGGCCTGCCCAGCTGGGGAGGAGCAATGCCCTGGCACCAAGGACACAGAGGAGGAGGCCCACGGCCCTGTCCCTAGGAAACCCCTCAGGAGCCCCCAGTGAACCCCACTGCCTGGACAATCACTTCCCCCTCCTCCAGTTACATGGTCCTCAGACAACCAGTAGGCCATGCCCCCGCTGGCCACAGCCCACCCGCCCAGCTGCTGGGGAAAGACTCTTACCCTGCAGTGAGGGCTGAGGGCCAGACAGCAGCTCTCCCCCGAACCCCAGAGCAGGGTCACGATGCTCAGACCTAGGGCGAGGCCATGTCTCCCAGACTAGGGACAGGACCATGTCCCTAAGGCTCAGGACAGGACCAGGTCCCCCTGATCCATGGCAGAGTCATGTCCTCTGAGACCCCGGGCCAGAGACATGTACCCTCAGCTCCCTGAACAGAACCCATGTGCTCCCAGGCCCCAGGAAGGCTGGGCTCCTCAGCCCTGCACTGTCCCCTCTCCCAGGCAGCAGAACCCACTCAGCAGCCATGGGGAAGCAGAGAAGGTACCAAAGAGACAGGACAGTCCTGCCACCACCCCCACCCCAACCACATTCAAATGGGGATTTGAATGTATTTCCTGAGCCCACTGGGGCAATGCAGTCAGCCTACGTCCCCCGGAGCCTGGGCCCCTGCTCAAACCCCAGCAGAGAAAATGCAGTCCTTCTAGGCCCCCAAACCCCAGGAACTGGTCTCAGCGGTCAGGACCAAGGCCTGCCTTGATGTCCCCACGGGATGGGTACAGAGAGGAAGTCCAGGGCCCCGGGGCTGCAGCCCCCCACTAGACCACACTGTCCCAGGCCCAGGCAGGAAGCCAAGGGGAAGGAAGATGTGAGGGGAAGGAAGGGGCCCGGGCCAGGGAGGAGGAGGCACATGTTGGGGAGAAGTCAGTGGGGCCCCTCCCCCACAGCCAGGATCTGGGGGTCAACACAGGCGGAACCTCAGGCACCCTGGTGGCTACCCAGAGAGTTCCCAAGCACCCCCACCCAGGACCCACCAGATGGTCCCAGGAGAGCCAGGCGGGGCTGGAGGGTTAAACCCCGATTGGCCATTCTCAGCTAGACTCAGGCCACCCACGCAGGGGACCTGCTACCCTCAGATGGGCCACCCGCTGGGCCGGCCCTGGCCTGGAAGCAGAACCCTCCCCCCACTTTGCTGGCCCTGACGCAGAGTGCTTAGCCCCCCCTTATCAGCCCAGGTCCCCCTATCCCGGCCAAGGCCAGGCCGCCTCACCTGAGACATCTGGGGGCGCAGGTTGACCTCTCGCAGGTTGATGGCCTGGGGCAGCAGGTTGTTGAGCAGCTGGCACAGGAGGACGCCATCCCGGAGGGCCTGCGCCAGCTCGCACACCTGGGCCCCCTCCCAGGTCACGCGGTGGCTGGGTGGCAGCACCCGGCACTGGATGAGCCAGTGGGTGCACTGGCGCCACAGCTCCATAGCCGCCGAGGCCTGGGCCCGGCTGCCCGTGCACGCTCTTGGCCTCCACCACCCACCCGCCCGCCCTCCCGCCTGTGGAGCGACAACTAGGGCTACCACTTCCTCTTCTGTGCCTCTAACTGTCACCCCGGAGGGGGTGGAGGAGGAGGTGGAGGAGGAGGAGCTGGAGGGCGGAGAGGGAGCACCTGCAGCTCAGCCCCTCCCCACGCGGTCCACGCGGGATGGGCCTCGCTGTCCACCTCCCTCTCAACACAGGCCTGGGCACCCGGGAGCAGGTAGCGCTGCAGGGCAACAATCCAGCTGGACTGTGAGGTCACTGCTTCCTCCTCATCCCACCCCCTTGCAATTAAGCAGTGCCACCTCTAACATGAACCCGAAATCCACCCACTTGTCCCCTCTTCCTCCGCCTCCACCCCGGTGGGCTCCTATCTACCCAGCCTGGATCAGCGCCGTCACCTTTGCCTGGACCCTGACTCCAGCCTTGGACTCTCAGAGACTGTCTTCCCTGCAACAGCCAGGGGGCGACCGTGAGCACCTGATCCAGGGCACTGTCCCTCCTCTACCCTCTATGCCTCCCACTTTCCTCTGGGCAAAAGCTCAAGTCCTATTTGAAGCCCAGAAGGCTCTGGGGTCTTCCCAAACCTCCCCATTTCAAATTACAGCCTTCCCTCCATCCCATATCACCCTACATTAAGCTCGGATCACTACCCAACAAACCTGCTATTTATTATACAGTTTTCTCCTGTGTCTGTGGGTTACATATCCTTGGATTCAACCAACCACAGACTGAAAATGTCTCTACTGACCATGTGCAGGCTTTTTACTTGTCATTATTCTCTTAAAAAGACAAGTGTAACGACTATGTACACAGAATTGACATGGTAATAGGTATAGTAAGTCGTGCAGATATGAATTAAAGCATACTGCATGCTACACCTTTTATAGAAGGGACTGGTTCACCTGCAGATTTGCGAATCCTCGGGGGGTCTTGAAACACTCCCCGCAGTACTGAGAGATGATTGTGCTTATTTCTTCATTGTCTACTTGAGAATATGTGACTCTTTGCTTGCTGACCCCTCCCCCATCTAGCACTCAGCACAAACACGAGCTCCATAAATATCCGTTGGCTGTATTAATAAATGATCGAAAGCTCTCTTGTCTCCGCCTTTCGTTTATTCCAAATTCTTTCTCACCACGACCATGGCCACCACCCAAATGGAAGCTACTATCATCCTGTCCTTAGGGACTTGGAGAGTGCCATTCATTAATCCGTTCGTTTAGCCCTTCTCTTATCACCAGCTGAAATCATCTTCAGTGAGAGAACTATCTCACCCCATTCACCCCACCAGCACCCCCCTGCCCTCTCCATATGACTCGGCTCCTCCACTCCACGCGGGTCCCCAGGGGGCATGGGTGCTTTGGGCCAACCTGGGTTGAAAGGGAGCTGCCGGGTTCTAATTCTTACAACCACTAGGAGGCGCTAGACTCCGTCCCTGCAGGGGCCCCTGACCCTCTCACTACCCAAACCGCTCCGGAACCTGGAGACTTTCCTGTTATTGGTGGGGGTGGAAGGCAGAGGAGGGGAACTCTACCTGGAAATTCCCAATTTTGTGATCCTACAGTCATCAAAACTTTCATCCCCAAGAATGCTTGGCTTTCTATGCGTCCGTTTTCTCCTCTGTAAAATGGGTCACCATTTGCTTTCCCTGCAGTCTCAATTATCGTGGAGATCAGAGACAGTGGGGCTGCAAAGACGAAAGCCTTCCACGCCTCCGGATTTGAATTCCGTCTCGACCACTCACACACAGGACAATCTGGACAAATGTCTTCGCTCCCCTGTGCCTCAGCGTCTGCATCAAAAATTTGGGAACCTACCTCCCCCATCGAGTGACCTACTGAAACTGAAATATTTTGAGGTAGGTCAGGCAAGCCGAAGTCTCGGTGTACAGTAAGTGCTCAGTAAAAGTCGTGGTGGCTACTGCTTTCAAGACTTATTATGAACCGTCGAAAACTTACACTTTGAGCCTTTAATAGGGTGGGCAGAGCGGCCTCTCTTGCTCACCCCCCACTTTCTCCACTCGTCCCACCACCTGGGCGCTTCCCCTCGTTTTGCCCCACAGTCCAGCCCGATTCCACGTGTGCTGTGTTTTCCCGGACGTCTCTCCACAAAACCTGTCACCCACGCGGGCTCCTTTCGGGAACCCCAAGGGGGCAGTCTGGAGGAAATGCACGCCTCTCTACGTCACAGCCGCGGCCACCCCCGGCCTCGGATAAGACCCAGACCGTGCGCCCCGCCCCTACCCGGAACCCTGGGGCCGGGGAAAGAAGCACCTCCCTCGGTCGCACAGGTCACCGGTGCACGGGTGCTCAGGGAGAGCCTGTTGGCAGCGGCGGGTCTAAGGTCTGTACATTTGAAAATCATTCTAGTGGCCTGAGAACGGTGTGTGCGCGCTGAGTGGGCGTGGTCAGTCGGAAGAAGGAGGGGCTACACTTGAGGGGGCGTGGCCATTGGGAGAAGGGATTAGCGGAGTTCCCAAGGAGGCGGGGTCTACCGGAAAGAAATACCTTCGAAAAGGGGCGTGGTTAGCAAAGAACCGATCTAGGGGCGGCGCAAGGACGAGGGGCGGGGTGGGAGCCTGGGAGGTTACGTTTGGAGGCGGGGCGCGGTCCAGTGGGGCGGGGTCTAAAGAGGGCGTGGCCAGGTGGCCTGGCTAGGTTCCCACTAGGTGCGGTCTGGGAGGCTAATCCTAGTTGCAGTGCGCAGGGTGGGACCTGGAGCCGCTGATCCTCCTTAGACCTTCACGGATCCGGCCTAGGTAAGCCGGAGGCCCTGGACAGATCCAGGACTAGGGAATTTGGAGGTGGAGAATCTTCTCATTCCAGGTACCGGCTTGCAGGGGGTTCTGGGGGCCTGTCCATGCGCGTCTGCATGGTCTAGAGAGGGCATCCAGTGAGCAAGCGAGTGGGTCGCTGGGCGTCACACGTGTCGGTGTAGCTGGGCGTACCTGCATGCGCTCTTCTGTGTTTCCTGTGCAACCCAGGAATCCTCTGATTCCACTTTCGCTGGAGCGATCCCAGATCGGTCGCTCCACTTCCTCGCTTAAAACCCTTCCAAGGCTCCCATTTCATCGCACTGAGATTAAAATCCTGGTCGCACCAGCTCCTGCGCGGTCTCTCCCCGCCGGTCTCTCCCTGACCTCCTCGACTTCCACTCCGTTCCTTGCTCGATGCATTGCAGCCACATCAGCTCCTCCAGGGTGTGAAGTGTAAAAGTAAAGATTCATCTCACTGCCAGGTCTTTGCACTTGCTGTACCTGCCACCCGGACGACTCCATATCTTTGCAGTGCTGCCTCCTTCTGTCCTGTGGTCTCAGCTCCTATGTCATCAACTTCTGGAAAAGGCCTTCCTGACTTTGCTGCTTAAAGCAACCTGCCCCCTCCAGCCTTCTTTATCACATCTTCCTGTTTTATCACCCACATTGATTTCTCTTAGAAATTATCTTCGTTCATTGTTTTCCTGATGTGTCTTACCTATCAGTCTTTGTACTCTGGAGGGGAAGGCAGGGATTTGATCTCAGCATCTCCAGGGTCTAGAGAGGGCAAAGTGCACACCCAGTGCTCAATATCGTCAGTGTTTGCTCAATTCAAATGTAAGACCCCAGAGCCCTTAGCCCCCCTGTGTGGGTGTTGTGTGTGCTTGTGGCTGTCTCCTATATGTGGTGGCACTCCTGAGCTCAGCCCCTTTCCCGGTTCTCCCCCTTTCTCTCTCCCCCACCACCCAAATAAATTATCTGAAAGGCAGGAGGATGATTTAGTTGGACTTTGAACTGACCTGTGCCCACCTTGAAATCCCCAAAGTAACCTTGACTTGCCGTGATCCACCTCCACTCCCACTAAGGGGGGGCCTGAGGCAGAGGAGTTTGGAGTTGGGAGAGAGAAGACCAAGGCCGCAGAGCCTAGCCCATCTGACAAACAGGAAGTGGGCAGGTATTCAGAACACACCTGGCTTCAGGTATGCAGTGCCTGGAGCCAGCTCCCAGCCCAGCTGCCCTCCCCTAAAGCTGGCCAAGACTGATCTGGAAACTTCCTGCCCCTTCCTGGCCCACAGACCTCTGACTCAGGAAGCAGGAATCAGACCCCTCTGAGGCATTCACATGATGTTGAGGAGTGGGGGGATTAAGAAATAGACGCCCTTCCCTCCCACCCAAGGCAATTTTATCTCCCAACATTTGAGACACACTGGCCCAGGGGCCTGTGGAATGATTCTGAAGCTCCCAGAATGCCTTAGAACGAAGGAATGGATGGGCTCCAAAACACAAGAAGAAACTGCAAACACAAAATTGCTACTCACTGATATTTCTCCAAATGTGTCCTTGCATTTAAAAAGTGCATGGGGAGTAGATCAGTAGTAGAGCGCTTGCCTGGCAGGTGCAAGGCCCTGACCTCCATCTCCAGCATTGGGGAAAAAAAATGCTAAAAAGAGAAAAATAGCATCACATGCTAAAGGGATAAGTTAGATCATCTCACATCCTGAGAAACCCCAGGACCACTGCCCCAAAACAGTGCATGTTTGTAAATTCATCCCCCTTCAGGGTTTTCCACCCAGAGAGCCACCTGGTGGATACCCTCAAAATTCTCCTGGTCCTTACTGAATGAGACCTCCCTGTCTACCTGTGGAAACTTCATCCTGCCTTCTGAACCTGCATCACATCCCACCTGGGTTTGTCTTTCCACCAGGTACTCCATGACATCCTCCACCAAGGACAGGGGTTCCCATCTCTTTTGTCCACTTTGGGGGTCCAGTTCCTGGAACAGCACTTGGCACTGACACACAGGACACTTCAGTGACTCGGTGAATTAAAAAACAAATTTCCCCATGCTGGGTGGGGATGGAGCCTGGAGACTTGTGCATGCCATCACCGAGCTGCACCCCCAGCCCCGTGAATCAAGTTTCTATGAAATGTGGTGGTATACAACAGCTTCATTTTTTTCACTTCAGAAAGATCATTTTGCATCAAGTGTGGGGGCTACGCCTGATCCCAGCTGTTTGGGAGGCCGAAGCAGGAGGATCCCAAGTCTGAGGCCAGCCTGAACAACTTAGCAAGACCCTCTCAAAACAAAAATAAAAGGGCTGGGAATGTAGCTCAGTGGCAGAATGCACCTGGGTTCAATCCCCAGTATTGAAAAAAAGTTATGTTCCATTTGAGAGTAATGCTTATGTTACATCTTCTCTCTTTGCACAAATTCCATAGATGCATGACTACTTCCCTGGAACTACAGAACTCCAAATTAAAGAACTTCCTTGAGGCAGACATTATATCATACAAAGTTATTAGTAGACAGAACGTATATATATATATATATATATATATATATATATATATATATATATAAATTTTATATATACGTTTTAAATATGTTATATATAATAAATTTTATATATAATATGTAAACATAAAATATAACACATGATGTAATATTATGCCTAACATACAGATGTTATATATTACAATAATACAATGTATTATATAATACATAAATATATAATAGATACAATACATATTCAGAAATATATATTTTTTTTTGAGAGAGAGAATTTTTTAATATTTATTTTTTAGTTTTCGGCGGACACAATATCTTTATTTGTACGTGGTGCTGAGGATCAAACCCAGGGCCATGAGCATGCCAGGCGAGCGCACTACCGCTTGAGCCACATCCCCAGCCCCAGAAATATATTTTATGTAATTCTATTTTTACATAATATTAAACATTTAGAAGTAAATTTATGTAATGTTTATTTATAAATAGAATACATGAAACGTAGTTACTCAAATCAGATTTTTATATACAACATATGTATATTAGTTTATTTTTATGTAATAAATACTAAACATAAATTTATTTATTTATATATAAAATTATATAATCTTGGGCCAGGGATATAGCTCAGTAATATAGCATGTATTTTGCATGCATAAAGCCCTGGATTCAATGCCCAGCAAAAATTATGTGTGTGTGTGTGTGTGTGTAAAATCCAGTTATAAGTAGTTTGTTTAATTTAGAACAGAATAGATGTATGATATATATCATGGGTATTTACATTATACACACACACACACACACACACACGTATATCTCATTACACAGTTGTACTTCAAGATGTGATAGAATGTGGACTGTCATCTCCAAAAGCAGGGCTCATTATTTTCATTCTGCAGATGTGGAAGACCAAGCCTTGTTGAAAGTACAGAGCTCAACCCTGGCACCCTCTGCCCTCAAGATGTCCATGCAGGGGCCACAGAATGGAGAGGACCTCAACCACCAACCCTGGTACCATGGACTCCTATCCCGCCAGGTACCACTTCTGCAGGGTCTCAGCACTATCTGATGGGGAATCTCTCCCACCTTCCACTCAGGGACTTAGTGCTCAGGTTTGTTGGGACTGGTGGCAGGGGCACTGTTATCTGTCATGAAGCTTGGCTGGCTGTGCACTATCACTTTCTTTATTTCAGTTTTCACCATCTTGGGATCATGTTGAGGAGGATAGTGATGAAGACTGAAGAGGGTCTTAATGCCCCCCAAACTACCCCATCAGTTCTCTATCTCTCCCTTGGAGCCCTGTCTCTCTCCTGGCATCTCCCTTTCAGTGCAAGGCTCCCCACCTCCAACTCGGTGTCACATCCCCAGGAGGCCTGGGACTCTGAATGTCCAATGAGATTCTGGGAGATTTTTGGTTTTTAACCCCCCCCCTCCTGGAGCCAGACATCCTGGGTTCAAATCCCAGTACTCTGACATGTACATTCTATGTGATCTTGGGCAAGTTATTTGACCTTCCTGGGCCTGAGTTTCTCCATCTTGAGCATGGTCATAATAAAACGTCCCACTTAGCCTTGTTACAAGGACTTGGTGAGTTAATACCATTTACACCAAAAGCAGTGCCAGACCCAGAGGAAGGGTTGTACATGTGTCATGTATTTATTCCTCTGTCTTCAGCTTCCTCTCCAGCTCCACTTTGCCTCTCCCAGGGGTCCTGGCCCTCCCACCTTATTTTGACACCAGCCACCACAGTTGCTTGGAAATGTATAAAGGAGAGGTTTAGGGGGACGGTGATCTGTAAGGATCCAGCGAACCGCTTTTCTTGAAGCCACATTTGCATGGCAAGCCCAGGGCATTCACCAAGTTTGAAGTTGCATGGGTCAGCTGGCTACACCAGAGTCTCAAGATGTCATCAGTTAAGAACAATCAACACTGTGAACTTGTTCATGTTGGTTGTTGAAGAGGGGGTACATGGAGCTCCATGAATCGGTCAGGACCCAAACCCATCCGGTGGCTTCCCCTTCCTCTAGCAAGGTTTTACCAGTCAGGTCTGAACATTCCCCACAGAACTTCTGCCCACGTCCCATTGGCCCGCTCTTGCCACATGATGCTGGGCGCAGGGGAGCCTGGGAAATGTAGTTCAGTTGTGTGCCCACCATAAAAGGGGAAATGGTTTGATGTGAAACTACCCAATCTCTGCCTGGCACAGAAATTTCATGGGGGTGGCTTTCTGTGGTGGAGAACTGAAGGGAAGGCGTCACTGTTGACGACTGGTCTGGACTCATTCCTAAAACCCTGCCACCTGCCCTCCATCCTCAGAAGGCCGAAGCTCTTCTTCTGCAAGATGGCGACTTCCTGGTCCGTGCCTCTGGGTCCCGTGGGGGCCACCCTGTGATCTCCTGCCGCTGGCGGGGCTCCGTTCTGCATTTCGAGGTGTTTCGTGTGGTCATGCGCCCCCGGCCAGGCCGACCAGCAGCTCTCTTTCAGTTGGAGGACGAGAGGTTCCCCAGCATGCCTGCCCTGGTTCTCAGTTACGTGACCGGCTGCCGCCCGCTGTCCCGGGCCACAGGGGCTGTGGCCTCCAGGCCTGTGATTCGGCAGGGGCCTCTGCGGCGCAGCTTTAGCGAAGATACACTTATGGACTGCCCAGTCCGCACAGAACATTTCAGGTACTCGCAGTCTCTCTGCTTCTTTGACAACCCCCAACATCCTCCAGGTTTCTCCCTCTCACTTTTGTGGGGGTCGGTCCTGAGCATTGTGGGAAGTTGGGCAACATCCCTGTCTTCTCCCTCCTGGAGGCCAGTAGAAACCCTGCCCTCTCTCCCTTGCTAAATATAATAACTAAGATGTCTTCACGGGTTGCCCGTGTCCTCTGGAGGTAGGTCACCTTGCTGGTCCAGAAGCATAGTTACAGAGTGACTGGATGCAGCTTTTCCAGCATTGGCAGTGGCTGCCCTGCCTAGGCTGGGACTATAGTTCTCTCCTACCTCTGTCCTCCAGGGACAGGAAGTGGAGCAACAGTCAGCCTGCAGACTTGGAGCTCACAGGGGAGTCAAAAGAAGACCACTCTGGATCAGGTGAGTGTCATCCAGGGCAGCACATGGCTCACATTGGCTCTGCCATTCACCATCTGTGTGATCTAGGATGCGATTTAACCTCTTGGAGCCTCAACTTCTTGTTCTGGTAAATGGAGACAATAATGCCCCCAGTGTTGTCACCTACTTTGTAGGTGCTTAAAAATATGTATTTGTGATTATGCCAAGAAACTACATGTTCTTTCCATGGCTGACCTTTCTGACCATTCTTGTCAAATACCCTCTTCAGCGTAGATGATCCTCCTTTCACTTCCTGGAACCTCCCAGGCTAGTTATGGCTTCAGGACCTTTGTACTTGCTGTTCTCACCATTGACAGGATCATTCCTATTTCCCTAACCTTTTTTTGACTGGCCCCTTCTCATTCAACCCCAGTGCCTCAAAGTGGCTGACCATGACCATCTTATCTAAAGGAGGGCTTGCCCTCATGACCCCTCATTTCCTGTTTGTCCTGTTTCCTCCCCCCATATTCAACATGAGCCCTCACCATATGCCAGGCTCTGCCCTGAGTGCTAAGGTACATCAATGAGTAAAAAATCCCAAGATTACTACCCAAGAGGGTCCATGTTCTGTTAGAGAACAATGGACCATGAACCACAAAGATAAGTCCACTGTGTATGCTTTGGGATAAAAATTAAAAGTAGTAAGGGTAATTGGATGTGTAGGGATGGAGGTAGATTTTGCACCTTTAAGTAATTGTCAGGAAAGGCTCCACTGAGAAAGATTTGAGGGACAGGACAGGAAGGAAAAGTGTGGATGACTGGGGTTGAAAGTGACCCAGACAGAGAAATAGGCCATGCAAAGGCCCTGAGGTCAGAACAAGAGCTTGAACTGTTCCTTCAAACAAAGGAGATGAGTGAGCTGAACAGTAGGAATAGGGAAAGGTCAGAGAGATCTTGGGGTTGAGATGATGAGGACTTCCTCAGCCACTGTGTCAGAACTTTGACTCCTGGAGTGAGCTGGGACCCTTGGGGAGGCTTGGAGCCCCCTAGAACAAAGCATTTTAAAATGCTTGGAAAATGCAGTCTCCTAAAATTCTTGGTATCATTTTAAGTACTAATAACCCCAGAGGTCAACATGCCACAAACTCACAAGGCATCATTTGGAAGTTTAATAAGTTCATTTTTTGACACTTGTGTAGTTTTTTGAATAATATATTTTTATTTTCTATTTTGTTCAGTCCATGCTTACCATCTTCAATCACAAGGGCAAAAATGAAAAACTCAGATTTAAAATGTGGGGGCTTGGGTATGGTTCAGTGGTAGACATTTGCCCAGTACACGTGAGGCCCTGGGTTCCATTCCCAGGGCCCTACCCCACCCCCCCCCAAAAAAAAAAAGAGAAATGAAAAAGTTAAATGTAGTTTTCAAACTATTGGTAAGTGTGTGTGGCCTTTATACTGGAGAAGTTGTTAAGGTACAAAACTGCACCCCAAGTCAGGCTGGGATACTGTGTTATCCACTGAATGAGCAGATGAATCAGAAGGAAATCATGAATCTCCCACCTGCCCCCACCTTACCAGCTATTCTCTCAGTGCACTCCCATCATCCCCTCTTGTATGATCCCCAGGAACCTCTACTATGCCGATATCTGCCCTGCTCCGGACAGGCAGTGACCCCGTGTTGCCCAAGGCCCCCGCTCCCCTGGGGACTATTGCTGACAATCTCAGAGCCTCGGATGGCCAACTTCATGCTAAGGCACCAACCAAGCCCCTCCGGACACCCTCACTGGCGCTTACTGATGCCTCTGGAAGACCCTCGACCTACTGTGAGCTGGTGCCCCGCGTGCCCAGTGCCCAGAGAATGCCTCCTGGCCAAAGCTGTTTGGAGCCAGAGTCACCATGGTGGGAGGAGGAGGAGGAGGAAATGGTGAAGGAGGACAAATGTTTTGCAAGACCACAGAACGAGGTCTCCTTTTGCCCCCCTGATACCCGATCTTGCCTGCTGGGTCCCCAGAATCGGCCCCTGGACCCCAACGTCTTGTGTATTCTCCGTGGTTTGTTCCTGGATCACCATCCTGAGAGCACCGCCCTCCACTTGCTATTGGTGGACTGCCAGGTGAATCACCTGCACCCCCCCCCCCCACCGCCGGGGCGGGCTGAAGCCAGGCAGGGCCCAATCGCACCTATACTAGCTTCATGGACCTGACCTCCCAATTCCCTCCCGAAGGCTGCGGGCCTCCTAGGAGTGACCAAATTTCAGCGAGCTGCCATGGGCGTCGCTTCGGGCCTGGAACTGCTCACGCTTCCCCATGGGCATCGCTTGAGGCTGGAACTGCTGGAGAGGTGATTCATCGACCTGGAACCTTGCTCCTGGAGGGGAAGTGGGTACGGGGGAGGTGCCCTGCACTTGCTGAGGGGAGCGTTTCCCAGGCTCTCCAAACATTTCCCTATTCACGGCCTCCCAGGGGGGAACAGGTGGGCAGTGCCACCTCCAATCCCACTCTCCCACGCATTACAAACCTCCCTACTGCCCCCAGACCCTTGTTCTCTGCCTCCGCAGGCTAGAGACACTGGCCCTGGCGGGGGCGCTGGCGGTGCTGGGCTGCTCTGGACCGCTGGAGGAGCGCGCAGCCGCACTGAGAGGCCTGGTGGAACTGGCATTGGCGTTGCGGCCAGGGGCAGCAGGGGACCTGCCCGGGCTGGCTGCGGTCATGGGAGCCCTTCTCATGCCACAGGTGTGTGGGAAACGGATGAGGAGGTAGCTGTAGCGCAGGTAATGAAACGGGAGAGGAGGCAGGCTCGGGTCTCTTTGCTTAGGTGTCCCGGCTGGAACATACGTGGCGCCACCTCCGACGGAGCCACACAGAGGTTGCGCTGGCCTTCGAGCAGGAGCTGAAGCCGCTGATGCGGGCGCTGGATGAGGGAACGGGTAAGTGACTGTCTGGGATTAGTCGTCGCGCGGAGCTGGGGACCAACTTTAACTGGAACCTCAGCTGAGCCCTAGGCCCCGCCCCTACCCTAGACTCCTCCCCTGTGTCCTAGACCCCGCCCCCTGGGCGAGACTGGGTCCTAGCCTTATCTTAGGCCCCGCCTCATTGGGGCTTCGGCCCTAAGCCCCGCCCCTGCCCCAAGTGTGGAGTGCTAGGTTCAATTCTATGTGTCTGTCCCCAAGCCTTGTCCTGTCTTGGATCCCATCTTGGTCCCGTGTTGCATTCTATTTCGGTCCTAGACCCGGTCCCCCTCACCATCGGCCCCTCCTTGCCCTCGACCACGCCCTTGACCCAGTCGGGCTCCGTAAAGCCGCGTAAAGCCCAGCTCTGGCTTCTTTCCTAGGCTCCACCCAACCCTAAACCCACACACCGCCCAAACCCAGATCAGACCCTTCCCCTCCATAGGACCCTGCGACCCCGGCGAGGTGGCGCTGCCGCACTGGGCGCCCGCGGTGCGCCTGCTGGAGGGCGAGGAGCTTGCGGGGCCGCTGGAGGAGGGCTGCGAGCGGCTGCTGCGGACCCTGCACGGCGCGCGTCAGATGGCCGGCGACGCGCCCAAGTTCCGCAAGGCGGCTGCCCAGCGCCTGCGAGGTGAGTGCTCGCTCTGCGCCTGGCCGCCAGGGGTCCTGACATCAGGGACACCCCTCAGAGTCTCAGTTGGATGCCTCCAACCCCACCTGTCCCAGGACAGGAGCGGGAGTTTGCACCCCAAGCTTGCACACCATTGACCAGTATTGACGGGAACGCCGAGAATGGCCTCGGCTGCGAAAGGGGCGGCCCCGCCTCTCCGAGCCACACCCACGGGGTCCCATTCCCAGTCTCCCACCTGGGACTACCAGGCCTCCGGGGACTCTCGACCCCCAAGAACGCCCAGCTTCCTTCAAAAGGACTCAGTTCTTCCACCTGGTAGAACGCTCACTGCGCTCAGAGCCACCACTCCCTGCTATCCTGGGTTCCTCATCTGGACCATTCCCGCCTTCAAGGGTGACCTTCGCCCTTCCCTCTCTTAAGGTGGCCAATCTACCCTCAAGCTTACAATGCAAGATGGCTCTGACCTCAAATTGCCTCAGGGGCGGTCCCAAGGTGGGGCTCCCTGAATCTTGTATTTGAAATAGGCCATCCCCAGGAGCCCTGGCTGAATGAGCCTCTGAAAAGCCACCCCTCGGTCCTGCAAAGTAGAGGATCCCCTTCCCTACTAACCCCGCCCAGTTGCGCCACATACTGGAGCAGAGTCCTTTTGCTTGGTCCGAAGTCTCAAGGTGAAAAACAACGATGCGGGGTGCGGGAGGGGCGGGGTGCGGGAGGGGCGAGGGCCCCACCCCCAGCCCACCTGACCCACTTTCCAGGATTCCAGCCTAACCCGGATCTGAGGGAGGCCCTGACCACTGGTTTCATGCGGAGGCTGCTCTGGGGGAGCCGGGGCGCCAGTGCGCCCCTATCAGAACGCCTGGAGAAGTTCCAACATGTGCTTAGCATCCTGTCGCAGCGTCTAGAGCCTGACCAGTAAGACAAGAGACACCCTTCTTTACACCAGGACCCCAAACTTCCAGGGACCTCCAAGGAGACCAAGAAAGTTGCCCCAGGCACCTCACAGCCTTGAGCAGTGGAAACTGGCTCCAGGCCTCACAAAAGGAGGCGATCAAAGTTTGCAAAAATGCACAAGGATCCTGGGGGTGGGGCGGCAGCAGCCTCCTGCCTCACCCTAGAAGACTGACCGAGGTAATCTGGAGGCCACGCTCCTGCCACACACATACACACCCCACAGTTGGGAACACCCAGAAAGCAGTGCCCGGTGGTGAACATGTGGCTTTTCTTGGTAAGAGAACTTGCAGATCTAGTATCAGGAGTTCAAATTCGACTGTACTTCTGAAAAGCTGTGTGACTTTCAGCAGATCATTTCACTTCTCTGCTGACCTTCAACACAAAAGTGAAACCGTGTGCTTTCTAGGGTTTGTGGCTGAGATGAAAACTTAATGTTCAGATCAGATCATGGTGGAGAGTGCCTGGCACACAGCAGGTACTCAATAAACCCTACCCATTCTCAGTAAGCTACAGTGCACAGGAAGGAATGAAGTTTGGTATCTTTCTTCCTCTACTGGAGTGACAAGCACCCACTGACTTAAAGCCAACTCCCATTAAGGGGCAGGGTTTGTCAAAGGTGTGCTCAAGTTCACCTCCCCTTCCTCATTCCTTGTGTGGTCAGGAGGGTGGCACTGGAGGATCTGGCCCCATATCTAATCCTCTAACAAGGCACAGACTCCAGAAACTTTACATAATTTTTTTTATATAAAACGAAATGGCCCAAGCCGAGTGGCGGGAAGACTTGAACATGAGTATGTACATCGACGCTGGAAGGCACAGCGGGTCTGTTGGGATGACAGGTGGGATGGGGGGCAGCAGGTTACACAGGTCTCAGCCAAAGCCACGGGGGCAGAAATAAAGTGCATAGGTCCTAGGGCTCCCCGTGGCCCAGAAGCAGCAGCCGACAGGCCCCCTCTTCCCGCCTCTGGCAAGTTCAGTTGAGCGAGACTCGGAGGTAGGAGGTGGGCACATAGCCCTCACCTCCCTGTTTCCGCCTGACCCGTGTCCAGCCGTCGCCTTTGTCCTCTTCCATCAGACTAAGGTCCTCGCCCTCGGTCATGGAAATGGTGCCCTCGCTGGACCCTGTCGTGGGGTGGGCCCGGGTCTCTGCTTTAGGCGAACTTGAACAACCTAGCCAGAGACGCCCAGAGCAACTGATGTGCCCCCACCCCCACCCCCTGCCGTTCTCACCTTCAAAGTGGTAAATGGCCACACACTGGCCTATAGGAGACGTGGGCTCCTCAAAATCCTCATCGAACTCCGTATAGATGGGGGTGTCCTGGCCCTCTTCTGAGGGGGGCTCTTCAGAGCTGCGTGGGAGAAGAAGGCAGATGGAAGCAGGCCCTCCGAGTGGCTCTCTTGGGTCACACCTGCCTGGCCTCCCAGCTCACCTCTCCTTGTTGTCCTGTGACCCATTGCTGCTGCTGTCTGGGGGGGCACTGGATGGGGGGTCGGGAGGCCGGGTGTGCCGGCCCAGGCTGTCCCCTCGATTGCTTAGGACCCGGCTCTCGGCTTCTGCCAGCCAAGCCTGGGAGGACAAGATCACATCAGCTCCGGGGCAGGGCTCAGAGGTCGGCCCATCCTGCACCCAGAGATTTCCTGAGATCACCCATGCACACCCAAGGCCGTGATGAGAAACAGCTGGATCCCTGTCCCCCACCCGGCAGTGACTCAGCCAGGCTGGCCGCCACTCCACCCCTCCCCCAGGGCCTTCCCCTTACCTCGTACTTTTGCACTTCCAATTTCAGCCGCTCAATGTTGCTCAGGGTTTCTGTGATCCGGGGCTCCAAGCTGGCAGGGTCACCCATTTGGGGTGTCTTCTCATACACATCCTTCATTTTCTTCAGAGCTTCCCTGGGGCAAGACAGAGGAGGAAAGAGTAGCAGGTAAACAGGGGCTCGAAGCAAGGAGTAAGAGATTGGTTAGAACTCAAAGGTGGGGGCCAGACACGGTGGCCTGCACCGGTGGTGCCACCTACTCGGGAGGCTGAGGTAGGAGGATTGCTTGAGCCCAAGAGTTCAAGGCCAGCCTGAGCAATATAGCCAAACCCAGTCTCAAAACAAAGAGCTTCCATGCTAGTAGGGCTCACTGCCTGGGTTTGACTCTCAGTTTGGCATTTCCTGCTGGTGTGAGCTTAGGCTACAGAGCCTTGTCTGCAGATCTTAACCTTGAAAATGGGAATAACAGCGTGTGTGGGCTGGTGTGAGGACTGGAGCAGTACTTGGTACACAGTAAGCCCCCACAATAATTCAATTATTCCTATGTACATTGGGTACCTGGTATATACTAGGCATTATCCTAGCTCTAGGGGGCTGGGCTGTAGCTCAATGTCAGAGCACTTCCCTGGCAAGTGTGAGGCCCTGGGTTTCTTTGCCAGCTTCAGGACGGGACAGGAAAGAAAAGAAACACAGAGTCAAGATCAGGGAGTTCATGTGGAGGGTGCAGAATAGTGCCTGGAGCCCAGCAGGTGTTCGTGATTGCTAGCTGTGAGACTATCATAGTCTCCCATTCCCACCTCCGGGTACATCCAGGTAGTGGGGGCACTCATGGAATATGGCAGTCTCAGCTCAACTTCCTTCTAGTCATTACCTGACCCATGTCACAGATGAGGAAACTGAGGCAAGAAGGTGAAGCAAGCTGCCTGAGACTTCTGGGACAGCTAGAATTCACGAGCAGCCTCCCTTGACTCTAGGCACGCACTCTCTACCTGCCCCTCCACCATAGAAACCCTGAAACCACCTAGTGCCAGATGAAACTTCACCCCCGGAAAAGCCATCTGTCTGAGAGGTTACTCGCAGACAGCAAACTAGAACTTGGCTGCCTCCTGGCAAGTGGCAAACGTCATTCCTGTTATGTAACAGGACTGGGAAGAGGATTTTGCTGCTTGGAAAGAGTGAGTAAAGATTTTCTTTTTCATCTGGCAAATTTTTATTGTTAATATTTAAAGTGTTTCAATTATTAAATAGACAGCCATATCCTTTTCTCCCCTTTTGTGGGGATTAGACTGCTAGATTTCTTGATATTGAACCATCTTTGCATTATTGAGATAATGCCCAACTGATTATGTGTATTTTTTTTCTTTAAAAAAATTTTTCCTGATATAGTAAAGGAGACAACATAAAATTTCCTCCTGTGGTCACCTTGAGGCGTACAGTTCTGTGGCATTAGGTACCTATACCCAAGTATCACCACACATGGTGTATTATTTTGTGATATGTCATTGGATTTGCTTGGCTAGGATTTTGTATCTAAAATCAGAAGTGAGGTAAAAGGAGCCAGTAATTTTATTGGCTTGAGTTCTTGCTCACTGATTTAGGGACCCAGGTTTCCCCAGCCTCCTAAATAAGCTGGCAGCTCTCACTCTTTCTGTTTGCTAGAAAGGTTTGCAGGAGAGGGAAAGCAGTTTCCTCTGGGTGTGTGAAGAATGACCTGTAAAACCACCCTGCTGGTTGGTGTCTCTGGGAGATTTTTGGGTGCATCTGAGTGTAATTATTTTCTGGTTGTTTTTCCCCTGTGCTAGGCAAGCACTCTACCATTCCTTTAAATGTAACCCCCTGGCATGGTTCTGGCCCCTGCCTGCCGGCTCTGCCAGGCTGTACCTCTGATCCACCTCCTTCTGCAGCTCCCGGTTGCGTTCTTCCAACTGCTGCTGGAGCCGCTTTCTCTGCTGCTCTGGGGGCAGGTGGCTAAAATCCTCCGACGCCACAGTCTGCAAGGCGGAGAGAGGCCTGAGTCTGGGATTCTGAAGTCGAAGCTTCCAGGCGCTGCACACTCCTGAGGATTCAAGTCTGCCTTCCTCCCCTTCCAAGGTTCTTGGGAGCAAGGCCATGCACAGAGCGAAGCAGGAGAGGGGCCCAGCCGGCCGCGGGAAGCGAGCCCGGGGGTCCGCCACCCTGCCGCTGGGTGGGCCGGGCCAGGGCCGTCCCTCCTCCCCCAGCCTTCACTTACCCCACGGCCACCTCGAAGGCTGCGGAAGGATGCTAGCCGCGGTTTGACCGACTTACTGATCTCACTCAGTATGGCCAAGGGGTCGCGGCCGGACCGGGGGGACGGGGGTCCGTTAGGCAAGGCCGAGGGCAGGGGGCCCCCCAGGGGGGAGAGGGGTGGGGGGCGTGGCTACCAGCGGGGGCCGGGAGGGGAGGAGCCAGGAGGAGGCGGGAGTAGAGAACGAGGATGGATGGACGGATGAACGTAAAGATGGACGCAGAGAAGGAAAAACAAAAGGGAGAAAGAAAGAAAAAAAATCATAACGGTAAGAAAATCACAACTTGAGATGCACAACCACACAGAACACACGTGCAAGAGCAACACAAAATCCAGGAGGTGGCAGGGAGGACGTTAGACTGCGGCCCGGAGTTCATGCCCCCCCACCCCATCTCCCGCATCCCTTGGCCCTTGGGACCAGGGGCTAGCGCAGACCCGCGGCTGTCCAGGGGCTTTCTGGACTCACAGTCTAGAAGGTGTGGGAGGCACATGCAGGAATCGAGGGCTCAGACACAGGCCAAAGGGGCACGCCACTCAGGGGTGTGGAAGGCAGGAAAGGTCAGGGGAGGAGAGGGCCCAAGGCCAAGATGGCAGGTGTCAGTGGGAGGGGTCTAAGGCACACTGGGGAGCCAGGGCTGTCCGAGGTGGAAACGAGGGTGTTAAGGTCTACGTCTGACACTGAAAACCAAAAAGTCCCCAAAGAAAGTGGCATAAGGAGTGGTGGACCAGATGGAGGCACTCCTGAAGGACAGGCTCACAAGCCATCAGGCCACACGAAATTCCATTAGCAGGTCTTTTCTCAGCATCCCAAAAAGCAGCAGACAGACTCCACAGGACCCCACCCTGCCCCCCTCAGCCTCCGGGGACTCCCAAGCCAATGGGCCGCCCGCCTTCCCTCCAGCCCGGGCCTGCAGCCAAGAGGAAAATTCCTGCCCGGGACTCAGCGTTCCGGTGGCTGGGCCCAACTCAGTGGGGCCTCGACTGTCCCCATCACTGCCCTCTCCCACAAGATTCCGGGCCCCCACCTTGTTCTTTTTGCCGAAGGGCCAGCGCTTGGCACGACTGCGGCCAGGGCCCCGGAGCTCAAGCCGTCCATCTGAGGGGGTGCCCAGGCTGCTGTCGGAGGGCGCCCGGTTCATGGGCTGGCTGAAGTCTTCGAATTCCACGTCGCCAGGGCGGGCGAAACCTGACTTATGCAGCTCTATGAGGACCTGGGAGTCCTGGGGGAAGGGGCAGTGGGTGGACAGTCAGGGGCAAGGCCAAGTGCCTAGTTTGGGGGGGCCCTCCCCAGGCCCACTCCTCAGCCCAAACAGACACCCACATTCTTGGCATCCACGGCGTCGGCAGCCACCTTCATGCCCTCCAAGCACTTGGCGATGATGGGTACCACCTGCAGTTCCGCCTCCGATAGCAGCCCATACCCAGCCCCTAGGCGGGTGGCTCTGCGCTCATCCATGTCCTGCAGCTTCTGTGGGGCCGGGGC